AAGGCAGTGCATTAAAACAGCTTTGACGTGCTAACACACTGAACAATTTAATCCTCTGTCAGTTTGTGTGCGTGCATATGTGTTAATATCTACACATGGTTGTGCCAATGTGAGTATCCCACAGTTATTCACATTCATGCAGTATGTCTGTCTGAGCAAACCCTCTCTGAATCTCCAGCTCTCTCTTTCTCTCTCTCTCTCTCCCTCTCTCTCTCTCCCTCCCTCACCCTCAGTCTGTTGCTCCCTCCCCCTCCTTCCCTCTCTGTGTGAGCGTAGTCTGGGCGCTGAGCCAAGTAGAGTGTGTTTTTTTGAATGAATACCTGATGCGGCTGATGAGGCTGGCTGGGGGAGGAGCTGTGTCAGTGGAGTACTGAGAGAGAGAAAGAAAGAGGAGGGAGGGAGGGAGGTAGAGAGGGAAAGAGAGAGAGGCAGAAATACAGAGAGCAAGAGAGAGAGAGAGAGAGACTGAGAGAGAGAGAGAGAGAGAAGCAGCCAGGCGTGAAGGGAGCTGGCGGTCTGGTGGCCTTGCATAACACACGTTGAAGCAGCCTTGCACGCAGGACTTGCTGTGAGCTTCAGCAGTGGGGAACTTCCTTTACCGTCAGCCCGCAGGGGCAGCGTAGCTTCCAAACCGGAGAGTCCAGAGAGGAAGGCAGAGCTGGAGCAGCTACAGCACAGGCTCCAGGAGAGGAGAGCGGCACAAAGGAGAGATTCAGGAAGAGGAGTCCTAGGAAACACGTCTTCAGCACATATACACACAAACACACACACACACGCACACACATACACACTCTGAGAGGCAGGAAGAATCCTTGGACATGCTCTGCAAGCAGTGGCTGTGGAGAGACTGGTGAGCTATTCTTAGTACTCTAACCAGAGGAGGGGAGGAGGGTGGGTTGTCTCTTTTCTTCTTGATTTGTGGCATAGTAGTATTTTCTGCCCTGATACTACACTCATGCGCTCTCACTGTCATTCTAAAGCCCCCAGAGGCTACAGTCGCAGCATCTGTCCAGAGTCACAGTTGTAGGACTCTGCAGCATTGATCCTGTTTGGTTGTAGTGGCGCTCGCTATGAGGTACGCTTGCATACATGCTTGTATACTGTGTGTATCGGGCAGTGATGCAGAACTCTGAAGTCATTGTGAAGACAAACAGCCTTGAACCCCTCTGCCTGTTCTTACTGTCTGCTTTAGTCTGCCACACGGTCGGTCCGCCTCTTAAAGGCACAGGCACCACTGTTGTGCAGAGAAGGGGGCAGTAAAATGGCTCTTTTGGGTATTAGAAAAAGCAGTACACTGTATTGATCTGCCGTGTGGTTAAATCAACTGTGTTTTTAAGTGGGTTGAGGTGAGGTCTTCTTTATATGCACCGAATCACTCATACATGCATGTACATATTGTCCTCCACGGTACCTCCCCCTCTGTTTGATGCTAGAGCTCAGATTGATAATGATGTTTTTGTTTTCTATATATAGCCATTTGCTTTACAGGGTATTCACTGTGCATCTATGACTGGTCCAGCAGGTGAAACATGATTTATGGCAGCATTGACAACAGGTTTAAAACCCCAGGGACACTGCATTTGCTTTTTGTGTGAATTTTTTACAAAGAAGCTCCATCTCAGGACACTGTTGCCTTTCTCTTGCCTCCCCGCATCATTGTGCTGCAGAGAAATGTTATTGCTATGAAGCCGTGGATCAATGCGAGGAGTAAATAGTGGGTCTGGGAGCATGAGAGAAGACTCAGGGCTCAGGTTGAGGGGGTGGAGGTGGGGGGCCGGAGGAGCTTGTAGCTGCTGCGTAAGAGAGGCGATGTAACTCCGCTGGGGGGCCTCTCACCTGGAGACAACAGAGAGGAGGCTGAATGAAAACATCATCTCATCTAGCACTCCTGCGTGCGCAATGACGGCAGACACACACCGCCACACCAACCTATTTCTGTGGTTTGTGCAGCTTTTTGTGTGGGAGTGTGAAAGAGGATCACATGCGAGGCTGGCTCTACCACTCTGTCTGAGCTGAAAAGCATCAGTGTGATGAACGGAACAGAGAGCGTCCTGTCCCCCCTTGCTCTCTGTTGTCACCCCTCCATACATGTCTCAGAGGTGACAGTCCTGGGCCAGGGGACTGACACGGGGATCCCATGCTGTCTGGCTTGCTGTGACAGTCATGTCTTGAAAGCTCGCCTTTGTTCTCCACAGGCCGTATATTTGTTGGTGTCAGTGTTCTAATAATAGGCTGACGCTGGAAAATCTAGAGAGGCTTTTGGCTGCTGTGCTGTGTGTGTGTGTGTGTGTGTGATCATGTGCAGAGAGTGCTGTGTACAGGTCAAATGAGGAAAAGAGTGACACCTTCTTCAAGAGCATCTTGTTTTATATTTAGTCTGTTGACTCCAGTGCTGTGTGTGTGTTTTTTTTTTTGTGGCATTCAGAAATCAGAGCAGGCTGGCTTTGTCTTCCAATGCAGCTGTAATCATAGGAGGTACTTGTGCTTCAGATGTGATGTCATTACAGTGTTGACACGGTGTTGCTGAGGTGGGGTTGTTGCCGCTGAGCGATGCATCGCTCAGCGGCAACAACAGTGGCTGTGTTGCTGATCGGGGATCTCTCAGCGAGGCGGGGGCTATGGTGCTCTGATGCTGTAGGCGCTGTTCAATGTGGGTCAGGAGAAGCAGCACTCTGTCTTCTCCCTGTTCCCTATTCTATCTCCCTCTTCTCCATTCCTAATCTTCTTTTTTCTCACCCCCCTTACTCCTTCTCCTCCTTCTACACAGTTCTGTCATCTTACATTGCCTTTCTCCCACTCCTCCCCCTCACTCTCCTCTCTCTGTTTCTGTTTCTGCTGCTGCTTTCCTCCTTTGTTACATCTGGTGGATCTACCAGGCTCTATGGTTAGATGAACTGCACGGTTTGAGGTACGCGCTGCATTTGGATGCAGTGACCTTGTCAAAGCCAGCGTTAGAGGTAGATGCATCTAAATACAAACTGACCAAGGTCGCCTTCTGTGTTTTTTTCCCCTCGTTCTTTATGTAACATGTCTGTGTCTCTCTCCGCTGTAGTGAACCTCCTCTGTTATATGAAAATACAATTTAGCACTGTCAAATAGCCTGGCTCCTCTGAATGGAATGTAGGGGGGAGAAAAATGAATGGATGGATGTATGAGCGTGTGTCATACACTCCATCTCTGTTGTGCCTCTGGCTAATGAACAACTCAGAGTCCTGTGCATTGACCCACAGATAAGCCTGCAGGAAAGAACAGTCAATCTGAAAAAGAAACTGTGAAAAAAAAAGAGCTCATGAGAAGCAAAAGGTTGCATGTTAATGTTGGTGAAATAATCGATGCATGGCATATTGTTTGTGTTTACTAGAGATACAGTATGTTCGTATGCATACACATGACTCTGTAGTATCTGAAACGATATGTTGGAGTAGCCCTGCAGTCTAACACTACCGTAGCTGCTGTTGTGGCTTGTTGACATGTTAAGGTACCTTTTACCAACCCACCTTCTATACATCGTCATTTCCAGTAACCTCACAGTTTCTAACTGGGAATAAAGAGTTTGTTTCAGTGCTCTTTTGACCTAGCCTTCACTCTGCCTCTCACTATACCAAACTCTTAGGAGGGCCTACTCAGTCATTGTTTGTTGTCCACTTTGAAACACCACTCAAACGGGGTACAGCGGAAACCCATTGTTAAAATATTTTCAAGCACTTTAGTGATCGCAACAAAGGCCCAGTTACGACTCTTGCAGAATGTTCCATAATGAAGTTTCAAGCCATATTGTTTTCACTTCATTTTTCTGATGTGCCCACTGACCCAGAGTTCCTGTCTGGAGGTGGATGTTATATTTACAGTAGCCCCACTGACTCAACACAAGGCCTGGGAGTGTTAAAACAAAGACAAAAGCACAGGCTCCTCTGAGGCTGTTACTCTGTGCTGTTATCCTTTCACTCTGCACTGCTTTCTTACCCTAGAGCCTGGAGCAAGATAACAGCCAACAGCAATGCACATACACTCACCTTGTACACATGAGTACTCACACACACACACACACACACACACACACACACACACACACACACACACACACACACACACACACACACACACACACTCAGACACACAAACAGGGCATCTCAGGAAACTCCTGCCTGGCGTTGAAAACATGAAAGAGCCTCTTCCACATTATGTAAATGATGACACACAACACTGTACTCTACTTTTCTGTGTGTCATACGTCATTACTAATGGGAAGGCTGCTTGAGCTTTGACAGATAAGCCCGTGTAGATCCTCCGGAGTCATCTTTAGTAGTTGGTCTTGGAGAGACATGTACAGCGAATGGCCTGCATGTTGTGTTCAAGTGTATTAGAAAAACACAGATCAGATGCAGTGGTTACACCAGGTACCACCTTGTGGCAAAGCAAAGTATAGCATGAAAGCAGATACATTTTAAAGAGTGAAGTATTTAGGTGTTTGCTGTTTTGCATTTGTAACCCTGCAGGAAAATGTTGTGAATATGGTTCATAAACACAGGCTGTGCTTACTGAGCTAGTTCTGCATTGCAATTAGACTAATGAGATTGAATTGAATTTTAAGCCAAGTCAAGTTAAGTCAATTTCATTTATATAGCACAAATGCAGAAGAGGGCTTTAAAATCTGTAAGCATATCATTAGGACCTTTTAATTTAATTGCACATTACCTGAGTGTCTGATTTGAGCTTCTCTCTGCCACCAGATTACTGCCGACATCGTGGAAGAGGTGGATCGGTCAGAGATGATTCCTCATGAAGTCTATGGAGCTCATTTTCTGAGCTGGAGTGACTCCGTCTTCTCTGGTCTGAGACCTGGAGCTGTGTACCAGTGAAAACCAAGAGAGTCAGAGCCACACAGTGCACAGAGAGGCCAGCCCCTGCACATAACCACTGAGTGGAGGTGAGAGAGCGAGAAAGCGACCTCAGAGGAGCTTAGACGTTGTACTGGGAAATATTAAAACCACGCTGGCATAATGAAATCCAACCAGGAGCGGAGTAATGGATGCCTGCCTCCTAAGAAGCGTGAGATCCTCGCTCTGGAGCAGAGGCCAGTGGTAGTAGCCGCTGCTACGCCACCAGCCGCTGTGGTAAATGATAGTCCCCACACAGAGAACTTAGCGTGGCTGGCAAGTGTAGCCAGTGAGCGATGCAAATCTAGGGATGCAGAGAGCCCAAGATGTCCCATCTCCTCTACTTCCTCCTCCTCTCCTTCCACCTCTGTTCCTTCCTCGTCCACTCCTCTGTCTGCAGTGCCCCTGGCCTCTCTACCTGCAGTTTACCCCACAGCCCTTCCCCAGCAGGCCGGGACTATCCAGTTTGCTCAGCTGGGACCCAACGTTCAGTTCATCAGTTCTGGGCCCTATGCCGGCTACATCTCCTCTCACATCATCTCAACAAACGCTAGCTCTGTGCCTAATAGCACTAACATAGTAGGACAGCGTCCGCAGCTGGATGGTTACACCACTGCCCTGATCTCCCCCAACACCAAAGGGGAGCAGCAGTTTCAAATAGGCCTCTCCCCGACAGAACTGGCACCTGTGTCGCTACCAAGCTCTCCCCAAGTCACCAGCCAGTACATCCACCTGGACAGCAGAACACCTCTGACTGTCAGCGGAAACTCTGTCACCTCACCCACGGCGCACCTCCAGCTCCACCCACACACAGCCGTCCTCCCTCAAACACTTACCCTTGCTCCCTCCCAGCTGGTGGTTCAGTATGCGGATGGTTCAGTTGGAAAGAAACCAGAAGGGCATGCTAAGAGTGTACTTAACGGGGAATTGGAGGTTGTCAAACAGGCAAAAGCCCACAGTCAGGCAGCAAACCATCAGCAGGTCCAGAGCTATGAGGCCAGACATATACTCCTGCCTGCAGACTATGGCCAAAATCCTGCAGGACTCCAGACCTCCTTGGTGCTGGTGGCCCATCCTAACCATGGAGCTGAACATGAAGCTGGCTCAAATAAGATCTCCTTAGTCCAGACTGAGAAAGGAGGCATCTGCTTGGGGAAACCAGTGTCCAGATCTTCTTCTTTCACCTCCCTCTCCTCCTCAGAGGTGGTGAAGTCTGTTGCTCCTCATACAGTCATCCAGACCACTCTACCCCCTGAGGAGCTGCCACCAAGTCTCTATTCCTCCACACAGCCGCCTATCATTGGTTACATCACCAGTGCGAATCAGCATGCTGTCAGCTACCACGCAGCACTGCCCCAGCATCTGGTCATCCCAAGTGGCCAGTCCCTCCTCATCCCAGTCAGCAGTGCCAATAACGGCACAGAAATAGAGGTTAGTCGTACTGTCAGCGCCCTGACTGCTACCACTACCCCTCAAATATCCACCGCCATGCCACATGCCTATCTGGCCACAGCCCTGTCCAAGTGTGAGGCGCTCGGGCCAGATGGGAATCAACCACCCCCTGCTGTCGCACAGGCTCCAGTGCTGCCGGTCCTGCCCCCAAACCCGGCTCCTGCAGTGGTGGCAGCTCCCTCCCCAACTCCTGCTCCTGTCCCAGCCCCAGCCCCTGTTTCCATCCAAGCCTCCCCCTCCATTTCCTCCTCCTCTTCCCCTGTGGCACTTCCTCCGTTCTTCATGCGAGGCTCTATCATCCAGCTGGCTGATGGGGAGCTGAAGCGTGTGGAGGACCTCAAGACAGAGGACTTCATCCAGAGCGCTGAGATTAGCAGTGAGCTGAAGATTGACTCCAGTACTGTTGAGCGTATTGACAGTGGGCAAACTCCCAATGCTGTGGTCATACAGTTTTCTGTGGGAGAGCTCAAAGCACAGGTGAGATATTCCAGATTCATCTCTGTTGTATGATTAATCATGAGTTTAACTTTTAAGGTCATTCTGTGTAGAATTTGAAATCTCAAGTATTTGGCGCCCCCTAGTGGTAGTAGTGGAAGAAAAACCTCTGTGGCAGACAGCAGTGCTCATAGAGTAAATAAATAGGCAGCAGAATTATATAATTTTTCCAAACGATGGTGAAATTGATGAAAAAATTTACTCTAAAATCGACCAGTTACAAACAGAGGTGAACATCTCTCACTCACAAAATGCCTTTAGCAGCAAAAACATTTTCAAACTCCATCACTAATGCAGAAGTAGGACAAACGAAAACACCCTTCTTACTTCAAATGATTTTTTTTCAACCTACTGCTAATGTCCACTGTGAGAGCCTGACTGATACTGGATTATTGAGTATTCAGTTATATTAATGATTTAACATAAATACATAATCTCTTCAATTTGGTTATTTAAGAATTTTGACCAAGATATGTACTAAGTGTGACATTCTGCAGTTTACAGAAATGTGAACTTGTCAGTGCTGCTCTGATCTGTGATGAGCTAAAAATTTAAAAAGCTTTAAAATATAACAGTCTCCGCTTTAGACTTCACTGGTTTTCAACATAGTAGTCTGTTCTATTCAAGTGTCCCACTAAATCATGACAGTCTGACAGTGAGGCAGCATGCACAGACCAGGATCCTAAAACTTGAGTAGCTAAATAGAATTAAGGCACCATTATTTTATTATTTACACCCAGGCTTTTCTTACTGTGACATGTTCAAATTTCCTCTGCAAAAAGGGACAAAATCAAATTATTCTACATACAAAAACAGAATAATTTGCAAGACGCTATAATCCCTTTAAAATCCTTCACATAGTAGCTTTGAAAAGTTCTGTTCTTTTTGTACGTCCTGTGTTTTACCGTGAGCTAACTCTGTTTGTTGTGCACGTGCTCCTATGCAGGTGTGTGTAGAGGTGCTGGTGGAGTACCCCTTCTTTGTATTTGGTCAGGGCTGGTCGTCCTGCTGCCCAGACCGGACCACCCAGCTGTTTGAGCTGTCCTGCGCTAAGCTGTGTGTGGGCGATGTGTGTGTGTCGCTGACCCTCCGCGGCTTGAGGAGTAGTTCGGTAACAGACAGCCAGGCTTTGGGGACTAAGCTGAAGACGAGTCACCTCTCTGACTCCTGTCACAATGTGGATGCCGCTGTAAGAAACAGTATGAGTCCAAATGCTGCAGGCAGTAACAGTGGCCTCCTAATGAAGGCTTCCAGTGCAGACAGGCTGGAGAGGGAGCAGGTGACTGGACCAGGACCAGGACTAGAGCTACCACCAGGACTGGGACTACTTCCAGGACCAGCGGAGGGGATCTATGGAGCTGGACCAATGTTGACAGTCTTGGGAACTGGAGAAGTAAGACAGGAATCAGTGAAAACAGACATGCCTGTGCTTAACAAAATACAATGTGGTGATCCAGAGAGACCCTCAGTCCGGAAGAGACGCTGGTCAGCTCCGGAGAGAGACCAGACTGAGAGAGCTGAGGAGGAACCTCCTCTGACTCTGCCCAAACCCTCTTTTGTCCCTCAGGAGGTTAAAATCAGCATAGAGGGCCACTCCAGTACCGGGAGTGAAAGGTGCTTGAACAAAAGAGTAGACTGTTGAGAGAACTTTAAGGAATTTTAAATACCAGTGGTTTGCTTTGTGTTTATCCCCTCTCTTTTCTCTCTATCCAGACTACTGTAATATAGACTGAGTTTACACAGTATTTACATGTTTTCTTTTCTTTCACTTAAGTCTGATATCTACGATGAAGTACAGTAGAGCACCTTCATAAGTGGTATCACACATGAGATCAGTGCAATCAATGCTGAAAGCAAAAATGAATGCAGCGTGAATGTTGAGTATGAATGGCAGTCAGTCACCTGAGAGACGTTTCACTTTGACATTTGATCTCTTTTGTCATGTGGCTTGAACCTGTTGAATGCAGAGCAGTCAACCATTCCTCTTATCACATGAACAAGCACAGACCCCGATGTCAGCATGTGGAAAGTGGGTGCCCATATTTTGACCCTTTGTTTGTTTCGCTGTTAATTTGCTTTGCTGTTAATTTCAATAACAATGCTCAATCATCACGGCTGTGATTTACCCTGCCTTGTGTGTCCGATGAGGATTTTGAGTTTTCTGTTATTAATTTAGTTTTCTTTTTCATACCATAACAGATGTGTGCTACCACTGTTGGGTTGTGCCACTTTGTCTCCACATGTATGTGCCTGTGTGTTGGTTTTGTGTGTGTCAGGTGTGTGTGTGGCTGGTAGCTGTGAGCTCAGTTGTCTGTGCAGCCTGCAAATATAAAAAAAGTGAAAAGGCCTGAATGTAAACCACTGAATTTGTCCTCAGTACTGACTCATGACGTCATGTGTGTGTCGTTTCCTGCACCAGTGACGAGTATATGCTGAGAATTTCATACCAATGCTTTTGCAATATGTGGGTGACAGCAGTTGCACATGGGTGCATTTCTCTGATGAAGTTCCTCAGTCAACTTTACATTGATAGCTTGTTAGCAAAGTCTGGTAATTCCTTTCAAGGATAGCATGAGTTTTGTCTTTTACCCTGGCTGCTATCTGCAGCATTTCAAATATGTACAAAAAGGGAAAAAATATTTTGGTCTAATACCTCTGGATGGGTTTTTAGCTAATCTTTGTATGGACTCAGCCCGCATACTGCAATATAGCTACTGTAATTAATTGTTTTTTTGGCCACTTGGGGGCAGCACAGCAAATGGTAAACATAACATTGAGATATATATACATATATATATATACCTTTTAAATTTGATATGGCAAATTTGTTAGCCAACAATTGCGTAATGACACATCCAGCAGACACAGAGCAACATTTGCATTCATCTGGAGTCATGTTTCAGGCAGCCTGATGAATCAAAGTCCAGCTCATCCTACTTTTAGCTCTGTTTCTGCTCTGAAGGAAACATCTGGCTCTGAAGTTACACAATTCTCCATTACTTTTAGAGCTTCTTTACTGAAAACAACTTCCTGCTGCAGCTAGAAATTTGGTTGATGAGTGTGAGCCAAAAGAGTAAAAGTTGTGGGCCATAAAACCAAAACAATGAAAAGATGAAAGATGATAAAAAAAGAGGAACTGTTGAGTTCGCTAATAATTTTCTATGGATTCATCACCACGAGCGTCCCCTTTCACGTTACACAGTGCCATCTGACCCACTGTCAATATAGAAGAGCAACTTTAAATGCAAACACACCATAATATAAAAAGAAAAAAAAATCAACAACATGACATAATAATTACTTATTGATGGAAAAATGTTAACTTCCCATTCTACTGATGTATCCTGTCGCTTTCTTTACAGAAACTATGGCCTTAGATATATACATACCTGGTTCACAGCAGCACATGGTTTTTAGGGTTTTACCGTTAAAACCTATTTTCCTCAATGATGGTATGCCTTTGTTAAGTCCATACCTGGTATATCAGAGTACTGCTGTTTTGAGTAAAACAGCTTTCTTTCTGTTAGTAGATTTGTTTCTTAGAGTAGAGCCAAAATAAAAACCCTACAGTTCATACTCAGGAACAGTATGTGTCTGTATGTATGTGTGGTGTGTATGTGTGTATGTGTGTAGGTCTGTGCTTGTCCACAGTCACATGTGTATGTTCTGAGCAGCAGCACTTTGATGAAGCATCCAGCAGGATTGTGGTGTTGGTGGCGGTGGTGGTGGTGCCCCTGTTCCTCAACTATTAGATATAACGGGAATAATAAACTGACTGTTTCTCATCATATAATGTCCTACAGGTTTATCCATGAGAAAAAAAACAATATATACCGGGACAGGGAATGTAAACACACATCGGGCAAACTATCTCAACTTTATTTTTGATGAATGATAGAGCTACTATTCAGAAAAAGAAAGAGAGAGTTGTAGAGTTAACTAGCCAGCTAGTGTCGATCATGTACAGCAAATTGTATCCCAGAAAGTGTACAGTTGTGTGTATAGATATTCTAACCCTTATGTAGCCTATGTACTGTATGTGCCACAGCGCCTCCTTCTTCAATCATTCCATTAACTCACCAATATCAAGTGGTTCTGCTATTGTTTATTGTCAGTTCAGGTATTGATCTAATGTTCATGAATGTGCTACAGTTCTTTGGGAACATCTGCATAATTTGGCCTCCTCAGAATTGAATTTGACTTGCACACTGTAACATACAGTATGTGTGAATATGAACTGCAGTTTATCATAATAGCCATTAACCTTTTAGAGCTCCTGAAAGGTGTTTTGTTGTAAACCCAGTAACCAGACTGTTCTCTGTCTATGTGTGTTTGACTGCTCAGGCTAAACACTGCCCAGTGACTGTTCTCCTCCAAAAAGATGTGGTCTTATATTCCTCACTGTTACAAAGTAGAGCTACTGTTTCATCAGTTTGTCTTTGTAGCCATTCTTCTCTCTGTGAGCCTGGCCCGTGTTTGTACTTTCCTTAAAGGAATTGTTATTTTTCAAATACAGACCTGAAATGACACCATGACACGGACAAATCTATAAAATGTTGGATTGATGCTTAAAGGAAACGGCTGGTGTTACTCTGCATTTTTCTTGTTGTCAATAAATCCCACGAAAAGACCAAAACCAACGATGCATTAGTCAAACTGCTGACTTCCTTACCCTCTCTGTGGCGCCCAGCTCCAAGCCCATTCATCCCTACTGAAAACACAAATATTTAAAAGCTGCAAATATGTGATAGCACTATAGTTTTTAGCAAACATTATTCAAACAGGAACAAATAATGCATTAGTTGGGGACTATTTTAGCTGTGGAGTGATACATTACAGCATTATGAGTAACTGACTGAAAATAAACTACATAAGCCATATTCATGTGTTTTGGATAACAGCAAAGATCGAGGCAAAGAATTTTGGTGGATCAGACTTCTACCTGTTAATACATGTTAGCTTAATCAGTTCATTGTTGGTTTTAGTCTTTTAATGCGATTTATTGACAATGACAAATATATTGAATATTGCCTGTCGTATCATTTACAGTCCTTGCACACCCTCACAGTTATTCTTGCCAGTAAGATCTCTGCTCAGGTTGATGCTGGCAGGAGATATGCTGTAAATTAAACAACAACTCAATAAGTATAATAAAGCTGGACATTGTTCCGCCCTGAAAAGGAGCAGCAGCAGTCAAGCACAGTCAGCATATGCCCCATACATTGCTGAGCGGAGATCTAACCAGGCAACATCAGTGAAAACATCTGTGTGGGTGGACCACAGACGTCTAGGGGCTTGAAGTTAGACCCTCATATCAGCCTGTTGGAGAGGCTTAATAACATTATACCCCTTTTCTGAACTAGACCCATTCAAATATGTAATTTTCAGAGCGTTTCTAAATAATGTTGAATATGGTGTATAAGCACCACCTTGTGGTGATCTGTGGATTTGCACTTTGACATATGGGGGTGGGGTGTTTTAGTTTGACTAATACACATCAGTAATGTACAGCATGTCTGAGAGGAATTGTACACTAACAGTACATCTCAGTGATTTGTAAATAGCCAAAGTCTTCCATTATAATGTTGGTATGATCTTGTCGCCAGTGGAGAGGATAAACACTGATCCCCATATACAGACCTTTGAAGTGAAGTTTCAAGACTACATCATCATTTATTTGACAGAAATACAGGATATTGCTTCACCTAATATATTTTCTTTTGCACTAGCTCAAAAATCCAGGAAATTATGGGAGAAATAAGACTTAAAAAAGAAAAAAAAAATTTTGTAATTCGGGTCTGTTTGTTGGATAAATCTCAGCTAAGATACAGTATGTCCTACGTACAGTATGTAGTAAGTATCAATAATGTTCCCTTATTTTGATGGTGTTGAGATTTGCTAGTCAGAAACTGTTAAATCTTTACTTCAAATGTTTGATTTTACATTTGATCAAATATATTCAAAGAAATAAAGAGTCTAAAGAAAAAACGCAGTATGTCTCTTTTTTATGTTTTCCTTCCTACAAGATTCAGGCTTCAGTGTGTGTGTGTACGAGAGAGACAGAAAGAGAGTGACAGGGAGAGGGAGCTTTGGCAATACTTTGAAAATGTGGTTTTCCAGCTGTGTGACTGTGATACAGTGAATGCCTCCACTGGAGATGTGCCTGATAATAGCTTCCCTTCCACTCTCCTGATTTGATATTTCCAACAATAAACATCAGCCTTGACAAGATTGAACCGGGGACTATTTGGAGAGAGTCTACGCAGAATTTCTAATTTCTGCAAAAATAATCAATGATGTTTTTCCTTTTGTAGTTTTGTCGATTACGGCCTAGAGGTAGGTCTGAAAGATCAAACGCTTCCCTGCTGATGGTAAGAGGCTCAGTGTTCAGAAATCATCAAAACAATATTTCCTATGAGCAACATCATTTTTAGATATTGTTGAGCTGCTTCAATCATTCACAATATTTTTTCATGTGAAGTGTGCCCTACAGGCGTTTAGTGAGGCTGCCCATTGTGCCTCAGATTGTGTTGGCAACATGCACACGGGCTTTCACTTAAAGAGAGGACAAGATTACATGTAATTCATTTGCTTTGTGTTTCAAAATGATCAGGTTTTCTACCTGTACAGCTAATAGAGAATGAAAATACCTCATAGATGACAAACCATGTTTTCATTCAGGCAAATAATGGAAATATCAAAGACTAATCTAATCTCAGCCAGCAGCAGTCTGATTTACATTTCTATGGTGTGCACTGCTCCAATTTGACCTCCACTGACTGTTTGTACACCTTTATAAACAAAATATTAATGCACAAGCTGACTATAAATTTGAGCTACCTCCATGGATCTGATACACTGTACACATATTATGTTTGAAAGTGTACATTCTTGCTTTAGTGGTGGATAGAGGGCATGCATTATACTGCATTGTACTGTTAAGTAAGCTGATGCGAACACTGTGTATGTGTCCTCCCATATTAGTTTTGTAATGGTCTGTTTCCTTTTTTAAAGGGTTAATGCTGAGAAAACTAGATATGAACATATTTTGTATAAGGAACATTTAAGTTAGATGTGCAGTATGAGTATGAGAAACATAAGAATCTAACATCGTCCAAAAGCAAAGAACTTGTGATGTTGTAAGGTCATGTGGTGTATCGTCTGGGGCTGCTACACAGAGAGTGAAATGGAGAGATGACTGGAGAAACCAGTGAAAGTTTATGTCTCAGAACAGAAAACACACACTTCATAAAACTTGATATTAAATATTTTGTGGCTTCACAAAATGCCCCATCGATATCCCATCATGTCTCATCAATCTCCCGTCATGCCTTATAGATTAAGAGACCATATATTACCACAGCTCTAACTCTCGGTTGACTTGTGTTGTCTTCTATAGGGTAGGTGACTTGTAATGCTACAAACCTGCAGCTGCACTAATGACGTTTGAGAGAAATAAACTATAGCTACATAGCGCCTGGTATAGATGGCCCTGTTAATTTCTACAGTGTTATAAAGAACAGGAAATTAAATATCAAGTATCAAGCTGAACAAATTGCTGCCAAAAGGAAACTTGGTTTTGGCTATAAATACAGAAAACATTCTTCAGTTCAGAAAAAAAATTTAACAATGCTGTTATTTTAACACCACACAAATAATAATACTTAATTGAATTTGCCGTCATCATCAACGGTTTTAAGCTAACCCCCAACTCACTGCTCAGCAACATTCAGAATTGTGTGTATCAGCTGTGTTTTAACTTATTTTGACATATTCTGAAATGACTTTGACCACCACAGAGGTTTGTTTAAGTCATTGCCTCGAGAGGCTGCTGTTCTGCACAGGGTTTTACAGTGTTGCTCCTCCAAACACATTCATTTGTTTCTACACTGCACCACCTGGGGGAGCAAGAGTCCTTCCGCAGAGGAGGACACATCAGCCTTGGAAACTATTATGGTATTGGACAGGACTGACCAGAAAAGATTTTGGAAAGAGGTGGCTTTAGATACTATTAGCGATATATGACATCTAACTCTATAATCTATATTTTTCTTGTGTTGTACTTTCATTCATATTAAACTACACAAGAACATGTATGGTAGTGTATGTGTAACCTGCACTGTATAAAAGAATGATGTGCTATTAGTATTAATAAAACATAGGAAAATTAACTGCTTGGTTTGGGCAAAAAGCTACTGTTCTGTATCTGTATCTGTAGCACAGATGAAAATGGGAGCTCATGTTGGAGAGCGCAATGTAAGGTTCAG